AAGGTATGCTTCAATTGAAAGGCATAATAGTACAGCATAATCAGCCGCAGTGCGTGGGGGATCTGTCTGGAGACGTAACATTTTTTTTGAAGTTCAAATCTGTTTAATTTCCTTTTTCTCAGGCCAGTTAAAAAAGTACTTTGTGCGAAGCAGTCGCATTTTGCAACGCCCGACGTTTCGACGTAATTCGCTCAGATTTGGACGAAAGGGGATTGTAGGGCCAGCGGTGCAAGGGTTGACGTCAAGTACTTTGATGCGATAAATCCCAGGGCTCGCAACATTCCCACCCCCATTCCAACAAAGCCGCGCCTGGGCCAGCGGAAATATAATTAACGCTGACAGGTCGATAGGAAAATTGGAGAGACATTGGATAGATTAGAGACATTCGGCGTCAAACAGTCACTTGGCGGCAAAGGAGCAGCGAGAAATAAATAACCTATTTTGAAAAAGTGATGCCACCAGATTGAGAAAGTTTGTTTGAAGTAAGGATTTTTGCTAAAGCCTGTATAGAGTAACATGAGGGCTGTGGATAGAGCAAAACAGCAGGGCCTAGACATTCCAAAAACATGAGGGGGAAAATTAGGTGAGACATTTGAATCGGATATGTTATGCTGCAGCGCAGGAAATGATCGGAAAGAGAGAGAGAGAGAGATAGAGAGCGAGAGAGAGAGAGTGAGAGAAAGAGAAAGCGAGAGAAAGAGAGAGAGAGAGAGAGAGAGAGAGAGAGAGACACAGAACAAAATAATATTTCCGCTCCATCGTTGGCCAGATCCCTTATATTGTAAGAGGGGCATTGTCTCGAAGCGGTTGAATAGAATGAAAGCCGCCCAGATATGGCAATTCTCCGAATGGCTATATTCAGCACGAAAAATGGCGTAGCCCGGAAATTGAGTATTATTTACCGTTTACGACCCGCATTCGTCCATATTTCATTATTGAGGTGCGTGGGTACAAAGCACAATACAAGCCTCGGTAAATATCCATCAAGTGGAAGTTTTTTGGCGATTTATGTGATTGAAACCAGCTGATAAGCGGAGAAGGAAAACAAAAGCTTCGAGGGCATAAGCCAATGCGCGACAGAATGCATAATTAAAGGGATAGCGCAAGCAGAAATCCACGTGCTACGTGGATTCCTGGAACTTTGCCAGATTCGGCTGGTTTGCGCCCCAAACCTTCCCTTATCAGCAACTCGGCGCACTAATGTGAAGATGCGCGGCGCGCAGATTTGATAACGAGTGCCCTCAGGCTATGTATTAAACGCAAGGGGACTTTTTGGAGGTGCGAGTGCGCAACATCTGCGAAATTCCGGAAGTCCAAGCAACACTTAGATTTCTGCCTGCACTATCCCTTTAAAATAAAGTGATAAATGATGGAAGAATTTGTTGTATAAATAAGAAGTATTAAGTAATGTGAATTAGTTTAAATTTAAGTTTTTAAAGGGATGTGAAAGAGTGATGTGGGCGAAAGGAAAACTACAGAAACGGGAAGAGGCACTGGATACCAAACGACTACTAGATCATTGTTGGAAAACCCGGATGGGCGCTCCAATTCTAAAAAGTAGCTCATTTGTCGTAGTCAGGAGGATACGTAACCGATGGGATTAGAAAAGGAAGGAGGGACACGATGATGAGGGGGGCGACAAAATATGAGGAAGTTGTGGCGCCTCGCCTTCCCGCCGATGGATATGACGGGCGGATTAAAAGACGACACAAGAAGGATTAGAGAAAGAGAGAAATAGGGAAAGAAAGGGCGATTCAGACAAGGGGTATCTCCTGGAAGAGGCCCATCAAAAGGGCATCCCATTGATCATTTCAAGCGGAAATTAAAATGTTATTCGTCCATCGGCGATGCGACTGTTTTTTTTGTGGAATGTTTTTGAATGGAAAGCGATGCGGTGAAGTTATTTCCGAAAAGACTTAGACTAAGAGAAGCCTAAGAGAGCAGGTTTCGTTTGGGGGAAAAAAAAATTAAAAAACAAAAACTACATTTTCTAAGAAAATTTTTAAAATCAGTCACCCCCAAATTCTGTAGAAAATGACTCACACTTTCACATACCCGTTCTCACCTAATTAGCGCCTAATTGAACCATCAGATGTGGGCATGGGGCGACAGCAATTGTCGCGGTCAGTTTTTAAATCATCAAAATTAGTCGTAGAACAGAAGCGAATTCCAGCCATAATCCGACAGCCAAAATCCCGACATTTAAAACCCCGACAGACATAACCCCCGCCCCCCAAACCCCCGCCACCAAAACGCCGACCCCCAAAACGCCAACAACCATAATCCCGACAGCCAAAATACGATATCTTCGGTCATTTTACCTATAAGTGGTTTTAAAATCGAGGGTTTTTGGTTGTCGGGATCATGGCTGTCGGGTTTTTTGAATGTTGGGATTTTGGCGGTTTCCCGCCAGATACTCCTCAGCCGCAAAATTAATTAACTATTTTAACTAGCAACTTAATAGCCTAATCGTCAACTGCGTTTTCGATAGAGAGTTTTTAATAGGCTGCCGTGGCTCGCAACATTTATCGTAACCCTGGGTAACGCGCCGCTACAAACAACGAGTGGCCGTGTATACGTTAAAACGGCCCATACGCCCCTGCGGCACTCTTTTCAGAAAATTGAATCATGGCTGGTTTGCCTGCTAGGATTCCAAAACAAGCGAGCGATATGAATGAGTCAATCGAAAACGGGGGGGCTAATCCCTGAGAAATGCGGAAGATCAATGCTTGGCTAATATATAAGCCGAATCCGATGGGGGTTTCCCCCTGCAGAGACACGGCGAAGGCAAATACTCCCTGGAAATGAGGCGGGGAAAGTGTGAATAATGAGAAAAGGAGAGTGAAGACGACTGGTAAAGAGTGGAGGGGGCAGACAGTAGAAATGAGACCTCTGCGCATAGACGAGCAGCCCCAAATAAGAAAATAGAAAAAGAAGCCGAGGATGCCCCCCCCCACCCATCCCCTTCCGCTCCGGCTTTTCTCATTAGGGCACACGCCTCGATGGCTCTTCTTTACTTTTTTTGGGGGGTCGGGAATGGCCAGGAAGAAGCCCCGCAAAATATCCTCAACTCAACACCCGGTGACTTCCATCTGAGGACTGATGTCTGGAACGGAGGAAAGGGCAAGTCTTAGGAATTGAGGGCATTATACCGAATTTCGTTTTGCCGAATTTAATGGTGCCGACATTTTTTTATTTTATATCACGCTATGTCGGGATTCGACTGTGTTGTTGTTGATTCGACCGTTGTGGAGGCAGGACAGGCTATAAAAGTCGACACAACTTCTGGATATTATGAAAATTATCTGTATTGAATTTTGGAACATTGAAATTTCGGGGTAATTTATTTCGGCGTAGTAGTTTCCTGCCTGATGAGTTAAAACTCCCCCTCTAACTCCACGCAGACTTATACCATTCGAAAGCCCTTGAAACGGCGAGTTTGCAAGAATCGTCAACGTCATGATTTCTCTACATGCGACATTTTACAATGTATTTAAAAACATTAAGGAAAGCCTCTGCATCAAATTAACGGCAATTTCCCGTCCTTTTGCTTGGATAAATTGAAGCCAATTAGCACGTATGCAACCGCCGAAAACCCGAAAAATTTTACAAAGTGGCTTGAAAAATAGCGGGTTGAAACAAAACCTAGCTTACAAGTTTGTCGCGAGGTCACCGTTCCAAGGGCTTTCGAATGATGTCACTCTCATTCCGATCCGTTACTTCTGCGTCGGGTTAGCGGGAATGTTTTTTATTGAATTAAATCAGCTGGAAAAGGGACTAAAAGCGACCGGAAATCGTGGGACTCCGACGTCTCGTAAGTACCACACCAATCTAAACTGAGACATAACCTCTCGATTTAAAAATTCATCAGTATAATGCCCTTAAATTCAACTAGTCTCTAAAAACATATAAAAACAAGTGAAAACACCGAGTCAGCCAGATCTAGAGGGTCGAGCTGTTTGTGGGAATGGGCCAGCGACTAATCCGATCCCTCTCACCACCACAAGCTACCCGCGATTAATCACGTTCCATTTTCCCAACGGCTTAATTAAAGCCAATTTGTGTGTCTGGAGGCCGGCTGACTTTCGACATCTTGTTCCGAACTTTTGACTCGAAGATACCGAGTCTGTGAGCTCATTCAAACATTAATTTGATCCGGAACAAACTTCGTTTATCGTTATACCAGCGGCTGGATCGGGCTACCCCTCCGGCTTCCCCCCCCCCGCCGAAACGCGCGCGACCTGGCTCACTAGGTCAAAGTCGTGAAAAATTCCGTTCCCCACTCGTTTTACTAAGAGACCACTTTCAAAGTTAAATTTAATAATTTAATTAAGTAAAACTTTTCATGATTTTTTATCAGTGTCTGGGTTTCTGACCGCGCTCTATCCGAATCCGAAGAGATGTGAGCTCTAGTTCGTTTCCCCTTCTAGTTGAAGCCGGGACGTGACAGACGGACAGACACCACAATCTTTTTTATGATAGTATATTACGTATTTCATATCGATATGTGTGTATGTTTATTTTAAGATTGTATAGTGCGTATCCTCTTGTTCTGTTCTGATTGGTGATGGCATAAAAACGTTGACTACAATTTATATATCATTAAAATTCTCTGCGTCTGGCTTTACTCTGCGTCGGTGAATGAGAGGGGCATCACAAATTCTGTGCGGTTCGACAGGCAATAAGCATAATAATCGGCGGCAAAATCGGGGTGTGAATGGGTGAAGTGAGCAGTTTCGAGGAGCAAAATACACAATAATTTAGAACGAATTCCACGCGGCATCATCACAGCAAAAAAGAAACGAGCAAAACAACATTGATAGCTTTCAGATTCGGGTCATGGGCAATGGAAATGTCTTACGCCGTTTTTCCGACGCGAAAAACAGCATGGCGACGATTGGGAGGCAATGGACTTTGCCCGGGCGGGAATGGCCTTGGTGACAACGAAATAAACATAACATAGTCTGGACATTTGGCTTTTAAAGCCGATTGAGAAGTTAGATACGGGTGACCTGCTCATCCCCTTCTTTCCCATCGACTTCACCGAGATCTTCCAACAGGTTCAGGGCCTCCTGTCGCACCTGGAATGAGTTTTTTGCATTGTGGCCCTGAAGAAACCCCCAAAATAGGTTGCGGGAACTTACATCTGCATTCCGGTCTCTCTCGGCGACCCACCAGAGTTGGGCAGCAATTCGGGCACTCTGAATAAGAAGCTGTTACATTGATTCTAGTCAATCCAGAGTGGAAGCTGAACATTAAGCGTCACTAACTCGATACCTTCAGCATTCGAAGTGCTCGAATGGCCCCTATCCGCGTTGGGATATCGTCAGCCTCGAGGAGACACAGGAAAGAGCTGAGCAGATCAGAATGTAGCCGACCAACCGAGCTGCACAGGTACCGCTCTAAAACCGCGGGAATTTTGCGTTGGTTTTGTGGGGAACTTACCGATCGTCGGCAGCAAAATGGAGTCGTTGTGGTGGAGCAGTAAAGCGATATGGCGCAGGGTATCGATTGGAGGCGCGATTGGCACCTGGACCAAACGCTCGAATACCGTCTTGACATTACGGAGCTGCCGCGTGCTCAGCAGAGAGATCATCCATGCTGAAAACACAGGGTTGGCCAGAGGATAACGAGAGCCAGTAGTAGGCAGTCCAAAGACCTACCATCATGCGCGAGGCTCTCGACGTAAGCGGAGAAATTCTTATTCCGGAATACGGCAACAAAGTGGAAGACAGTGATTTGAGCGGGTTGGGCTGAGGCTGAAGGCCCGTCGATCAACAATCTTCCGAGACATTCCGTCACTCGTGCCACCAGATGCGGGTATGCTGGCTCGACGATTGGCGAGACGTGGGCGCGAAGCTGAAAATATGCTTGTTAGAAGCAACCAAGGTATTCGGCCAAAATTATCAATATTTTGCTGTGTTTTGACACACCTGACTCCGCAATTCCTCAAAAGGTACGACCAGCGAAGCATGAAGCGGGTAGCACGCCGACAGCCACGCCTCCTGGATCACCCCCTCGGCGCCTAATTCACACAGCACTGAAAACGATTGGCTGATTTGTAGAGCATTCAGCCTATACCGTTGGTGATGTTGGGGAGGGCAGGTAGGGATGGCGTCAGTCGCAACAGGTCATCCAGAGCCACCGTATCCGCTTCGATTTTGCGTAATAATTCGGTGCCTTTGAAGAGGAGTGGTCCGGAGAGGGTCGAAAGGCCCTAAAATGTGGATTTTAGATAAATTCAGCGGAGGTCACAGGACGGCAAGCGGTGGGTCTTACAAGGAGTGTTTTTTCGCGTCATCGGCAAACCCTTCGCGACCTAGCTCATTCGATAGAGAATTGAATTCTGAACAATATGCCTTTGTTCATTTCTGCGGAATAGCCGTCTCCGACTTCATAAAATTAAAAAAACTAGTGCCGTCTCTTACCATGAATGCCCTTTGAGCGAAAAGAGACGCTTGCGGAAGCAGTTTTAAAATTGTATAAAATCAGGCATAGCCATTCCGCAACAAAGACAACGGAGTCTTGTTCAGAATCAAATTGTCTATCGAATGAGCTAGGTCTCGTAAAGTTTTGCCGATGACTCATAAAAGCCCTCCTTGTTATACAACTTTCTCACCTTCAACGAATTCCTTATCCTTGTCAAATGGTGCACAAGACAGGCATCAACCTCATGATGTCCGGTGGCCCTAAAATAAAAGTCAATCATTCCGAAATCCATCAATAAACGGACGTTTCATGCTTGACCGGGTGGTGCTCGTCCTGCCAGAATCGATCCGAATCGAGGCACATCCGTTCCAGCTCGCTCGCATCCAGCATGGCTCCCAGCGACTTTCTGCGGTCTCGCATCTAGAGATGGCGTCATTTACCGTAATATATGGAGAGAAGAATGATTGCGAGAATTTGGTATCCGGCAAATACCTGGCCAAATCTGTTGCCATTTGCCCGTCCAGTACTATCGTCGGGCCCACGTCTGGTATAGGGGGAAATCTGCTGACGCAGCGAATCGACGCCAGAGTCATTTTCGGAACTGGAATTGATATAGATTAATAGAGACCATTGCTCGATACGCATACCCGTGCTCTGCTAACAATACGTTATCATCGATCTCATCTCCACGCGCAAATGTTGATCGACGCAGCGAAGCGCCACCGCTCGACGACGAATGCTGCAATCGTTATGTTAGGTATCGTGCCGACATACAGGGTGCCCCAAAAAATCACCCCTTCGGCATTTCGCCGTATTACAGCTGATCGGTCCCAAAATTGGAGTGGACGTAGATCAGACCGTAAATAACCAGAATTCTGAGTTATATCTCCGCAGCTACAGTAACTTTCGAGATACAACAAAAATAAACCTTGTAGTGCGTTTTTCATAGGGTTTTCGTCAAATTCGACCCTTAGAATATTAAGTGAAGATGATGCGGAAAGGCTACTTTACCCCGAGAAATTTTTTTCCTGACGAAAATTTCACTTTTAATGCTTATTTAAAGGTTTTTTGCAAGCAAAACTCGACCCGGACCGTAAGCGAAATGAGCGATTCCGAGCCGGAAGTCAATGAAAATCAATGCAAAGTCCAAAAAAGCCGAAAAACTGTTAAAAATTGCATAGAAAACAGTATTTAGGCTATAACTCGAGAACCGCGGTAGCGATCGGTCTATAACTGAGGATTGTGGTTATTTAGGGTCTGATACACCCCTCTTCCAATTTTGGGACCAATCGGATGTAATACGGCGAAATGCCGTAGGGGTGCTTGTTTTGGGACACCATGTATTTTGCTTATCCGATGGCATTAAACAAGATTAAGATACCCGGACCTACCCTGAGCAATCGGCTCCAGTGTGCCAGAATCTGATGTGTTGTGTGTAGTTCTCGATGCCGTTCATGTGATAATGAGGCAGCAAGCGGGAGACACTCATCAAGAAGGTCAACAAGCACTGAGCCCACGGAGGAGATGGAGACGACGTCCGAGGAGGAGGTAGCCGAAGAGCACGACGAAATCCCAGCCGAGCCACCGGCGCACGCTCTAGAGTTTGTTGGTAATAGATATGGATTCTGAAACGAAGCGGTGGCTATTACAACTCACCGTCCCCGTAGCGAATCTGGGCTATCTTGGGCTGGGGCTGCCAAATTCGTCTTGGAAGTAGATGCAACAAATGGTGTGGAGACGTCCGGAGATGAGGATGAGACGACAAGCATCGACATTCGATGACCAGGGGTGGACATCTGGAAGAAAAAAATACACAAAATTTGCAGGAAATGAAATTCAGCCCACTTTCGTGAGAAGAACAATTCCAAGCAGCACCACTTACCGCCTCGATGGTGGGAATATTCTTCGACAGATCATGGTATATCGAGTCGAGTAGGTTTGTGGACGATCTCCACTGTTCCCTCGCCGCCACCCGGGCTGCCCCTCCGCGCTTCTTTTCTCTGAAATTGTACTTTCAGAAACTAAGCAGTAAAAAATTGTGTTAACGTCTGAGAGCTGGGAAAAACTCGCGCCTCAAAAGCGGTTGGTTTTTAGCATTTTAGGTGCCTTTTAAAGAACTGTCGAAAATCTCAAACCTCAAAATGACGCGTGGCTTTTTCGTTTCATCAGCCTGATCTCCATTGGCAGCGATGGTGCCGGTCCTACTGATTGCCGGTTGTAGCGTGTTTTTTGAGGCGAGCAGGGGACTAAAATTGCTTTTCAAAAAGACTATTAATTCGCCCCACATCCAGGTGACGATCATTTGCAGCTTGATTGTGCCGAGTGTGTTCAGGGAGATGGTCACCATTTGGGGGGCCGAGGAGAACAGCTCGCACGGGTCAAACGATCGCTCGGCCAGCACTTTCGTCTTGAACACGCGCACTTCGCATACCTGAGCGGATTTTGGGGGTTAAAGAACGGTTGAAGTCAAACGGGGGCACCTTGACATCGACGGTACTCGAGGGTTGACACTCGAAAGACATCACTTCGCGGTCCCATTTTTGGCTTCGATCGGCCAGGGTCTTGCCGCGAGCCTGGAGCAGGGATAAGGGATTAAACTTGCTTTCGGTATTTTTCTGTCTACACTTTACTTTATCACCGCCCCAGCCGGAATGTTTTGGCTATAACTTTTTGATTTTACATTATTGTAGGCTCGAATTAAAACATTCAGTGTATTTTTCGACGCTCTATCGAATGGCGTGGCAAAAATCCCGACAAAATTAGCGAAAATACCGAAAACTTTGACACCCTTCGGCTGTGGGGGGGAGGGGTAAAGTAAAGTCTTACCTTTTTTTTCTTTTTAATGTCTCGATATGCTCACCTTCCACTTTGTTGCGCCATGCCGAATGTTGACCTCAAAGACATCACCCGGCACCACACGAGCAAAACCGGCAATCGCTGAAAATCGGGGGTTTTTCAAGAGGGTAAAAAGCAGGAAGTACGTTATGGTGTTCAATGGTCCATTTAATAAACAAAAAACGCTCTTACTTTTTAATTCAACCGAGACTCTACCCATCATGGCGGCCAGCTCGCCGTGAATGGCCACAGTCGGGGCTGAGGCCGACGATGAACGGCCGGAAAGAGCGGCGCGAAGGTCCGAAAGGGACGACGATTTTGCTAAAAATCATCACTTGCAATTAGATAGGCATATTTCAGGACGATGCGAACCCCTCCACCGTATACCCGTCAAAAGAATTGGTATTAAAACCCTTTTTGAGCTCAGGTATCACTGGAAATCTTAATAAAAATGGAGCATGAATGGGAGCAAAAAATCGAGCTTTTTTGAGCTTTGAAAATATAAATAAAAAACGAGCATGGAGCAGAAAAATCGCGGACGGCCCGTGTGATTAGAGCCAGAGTGCGGAATGTCTAGTAGTCCGTGTAGCGGGCACGACCGGAAAGTACCCTCAAAAAGTATGTCAACGGCTCGAGGGGGTATTCAGAAAGGAGGGAATGGAGGGAAGAGATAGCGAGAGATGTGACAAGTGATGATTCGAGAAGAATAGGGGAAAGCAAGGGGGGCGAAGGGTGCCGACCTCGGGTGCCCCACAAAAAATGCCCCTTGACATTTGCGACCGTCTTTAGAGGAGTTTCGTTTTATGAACATAGGCAGTCAGACCGTGCTAATATTTTCCACTATAAAAAGAACAACGGGGTGCCTCAAAAATACGATACTCTTGGCATTTCACCGTTTTACGCCCAGCTTAATCGATCCCAAAATTGGGCCAGTGGGGTATCAGACCCTATACATTCCTGTTTTGTTTTTCTTTTTCCCTCGCTCTTTGTTTCGGTGTGGGGTCCCTTTCCCCCTCTTCCTTTTTTTGGCTTTTGGTTTTTCTTTTTTTGCCTTTTTTTTTTTTTCTCTTTTTTGGTCTGTTTGGTTTTTTTTTTTTTTTTCACAGTAATCCAGAGTTACAGCTGGGTCGATACAGTAGTATATAAGAAAAATGGGTAAGACTCAGATAACAGCCGGCCCCCCAACTTTTGTATCCCGGATCCCGGTTCATCTACAGGTGTGTAAAATGTTCGCCTTGCTCTGGCGAGTATTTTGGTATACTTTACACACCTGTAGATGAACAGGGAGCCTAGATACAAAGGTTGGGGGCCGGCTGGGCGGGGGGTATCTGGAGTTCAGCCGTATTTAGGGTCAACACACCTTTAGTCAAATCTTAGGACATGCAAGACGGCCAAATGGCGAGGGGGATTTTTTTGGAACAACCTCTATAAGAGTGCTTCGAAGCAGCCGAACCTAGAAAAGCAAACAAGATATAGGGAGTCGTTCGAAAATGCTCGCTAACCACCCACCATTCCTTCCATTTCCGCAAATCCAATTATTAGCTAATTGATTAGTAAAGAGGAAGTTGCGCGTGTCGGGTGGGAAGAAGCTGCCCATTTGTGGCGGGGCGCTCACCCGGCTTTCGGCCACCACCCGACGCCCCCCGTTCCACACGGCTTTTTGTGCCCCACGCGGGGACAGTGCTTTTTGCGAGTGGCTTGTGGGGCCCAATTGGGACTGTTAGGCCCGAGAGAGAGAGACAGAGAGAGAGACCCGTTTTGCGCCCAGCTCCGGCAAACAGTCCACGCGACGCCTAATTCCGCCCTCAGGGGAAGGAGTGGACACAAAACGGCTGAAGAAGCAGCCATGGTCATCAACAGCACCCCCAAAAAAAGGGCCATCGGGGAAATGCGGGGAATTTTTGAGAGTTGGCCGTCGCCCAAGGCTATGGACGAGAGCGAATTATTGGGTGAGATTTGGTGGACATGCTTATTTTCGGTACTATCCTAATATTCCAACTTAATTAAAAATGTTTGTGCGTGTGTCCCCTTTCGTAAATCCGTCAGGTGTCGGTGTTGGTCCTTTGGCCGACCTGACTCACCTTCGTTTACAACACTTTTCGACTTATTCGTAATTCGGGCCCTCTTTGTTAAAGTTAACTACACCAAGTGGGGCCTTTTACGGGTAGAGCCTTTTTTCTTGGGCTTTATTTTTTTACACATTAGTAACCACAAAAAGCGAAAGCCGGGGCACGCATGGCACTTTTTGAGGCAGAAATCCTGTAGTGTGAAGCCGCCCCGGAGGCTAAAATTACTGTGATGTTCGAGCTGCGCGGTACAGCAACAACCGGTCTCCATCTGCCCTCTTCTTCCCTTCTACATTCCGCGAGTATACAAGCAACGGGGGTGCCGAGGGGCGCCATCTTCCCATCAGATCCTGCCCCCGGCTGTCTGTTTCCTTAAGTCAGAAACCATCGGCCGCACGCCTACGATAATGCACTCTGATGTGCAGAAACAACTGCAGGCGGCGACGTGGTGATGTTGGTGTCGAAAAGTGAAGGAAATTGCTAGCCAGAACGTGTAACTACAGGCTGTTCCAAACGCCCTCCCCCCACCTAACGGTTCGCTGTCGAGTCCGATTTTCACCGTTTAGGTATCTATGGAAAGCTCTCAAAAAGGCGAGAAAACAAGGAGGGTTAATTTTCTTTATTATGTGTTTTTATTTGCCAATTTTACGTCCAAAAACCATGAAAACTGCTGACTTATGCGAGATCTGCATGCTATTTTTAAAAAACCTTAAATATCATGCAATGCTATTTAATTTTAGAAAACGAGACCCGCTTGTGTTCTCGCCTTTTCGAAGCTTTCGATAGATACCTAAATCGTAAAAATCCGACTCTACTGCGGCCCGCTCGGTAGGGGTTTTTTTGGGACACCCTGTATGAGATATCCGGAATTAATGAAAGGAAAAACTACGCCGGTATGGAATTGTTCAGGAAACATTTCAAAAGCGAAAACGAAGTGAAAACAGTACAGCTCACCAGGGTTTTTTGTGCTGCGCGGCCCCCGAGGGAGGACAGCGAAAAACGGGGTGATTTGCATAGGATTACGAGGGGGGTGTTGTGTCGGGTTGTACAGAGGACTCGAAGGGAAAAGGAGGGTATTGTATGGCAAAGGGGACGACGGATAGAACGAATCGGAAGAACCGAAGGATTTCAAGGATCGCTGCGCAGAAAAAAAGGATAACGCCCGTTTGAATGGAGGTAAGGAGAGCCGGAAATGAGTTAAAATTTCACGAGGGTAACGAGGAGCGCGATTTTATGTATTTCTAAACAAGCTTTTTGCATGGAGTAATCAATTCCACTCAAAAGCTAACCTTTCATCGAAGCAAAATGACCCTGGCGATAGCGGTCCTGAAGCCGGGTGAGACGATGGAGGTGCCCTTCGTAGAGTTGGATATTTTCCTCCACCACCATCAGATCCTAGGAATTGAACTGTGTTATGATTTTCAGAGTCTAATAACCAAGCTTTTACAGCCTAACATAAGCAAAGAGCCTAGACAAAAATCCGCACCGTACCTGCTCAATTCTGGTTGCCATCATCGGGTCGCTTGAAGCCTCGAGGTCGGCTCGAAGGCGGTCTCGTTCGTTGGCATAGAAATTGATGTAGGAGCTAAAACATAGGGGATTTTAGGTTTAGAATATATTTAACTATGGCCAAACTTTACTTTACCCCTCCCCAGCCGAAATGTTTTGGCTAGAACTTTTTTTTATTTTACATTATTGTAGGCTCAAATTAAAACTCTTAGTACATTTTTCGACGTTCTATCAAATGGCGTCGCAAAAATCCCGACAAAATAAGCGAAATGTCGAAAACTTTGAGAGCTTTCGGCTGCGGGGGGATAAAGTAAAGCCATACCCCAACTATGCTTGTATTTAACTTACCGGAATCCCTGTGAGAGGGCGTCGAAGATCTGATCGCTTCGCGGTTTTTTCGACGGTTCATGGCCGGTCGGCAGGGGATTGACCGAGGCCATCACCCGGCTCATCGTCTCCGCTGTCGACGAGGAGCACGACGGGATTCGAGGCTGAAATTTATGAATATTATTATTACAATTAACGTTTGCTCAAAGTCCAGTGAAAATTTGGATTTTGTAACGAAATACATATCAACTACCCGGCCAAAATATACAATCAACTCGTCAGGAACGTCTCCAGGAATTTTTTTGGGGTGAATCAGTGTGTTTTGTATGTGTAGATGTTGTGCCACGGAATGAGCGGCTCGCGCGGAACGGCAAACAATTTCATCAGCGCTGACCGGCGGAAGAGAAATTCTCGAAGTTCGACGCTTCCCGCCGCCGATTTTATCAGTGGACGAGAAAATGGACTACATATCTCGGGGGGTTTGTTACAACGATCCGCTGCTCGGTAACATTGCAAAAACAGATAAATTTCGATCCAAGTGACACTGTCGCTTTCGACCAAAAATGAAGGATTCTGGGCTGTTACCGGGGGCGGTAGTCATTTCGCGGAGACCATTTTGTCCCTCACGTGTCCAAATATCCTAGCTTGATAGCCCGCTTTTAAGCATACAAAATGCATATAAAAACGACATAAAATTATTAAAAAATTTGAAAATTTGTATTATGGCAAAAAATGCGTTGTGCTAGGGAGGACAAATAAGGTATCATCTTGCCTTTTTTTTTTTTTTTAAATTTTCAATTTGTCGAAATTTCAATGCCGTTTCGCCTCGATCATTCATCTCAAAATTTCGTATTTTGAAATTTAGGCAAAATGATATTTCGAAAAAATGCAATTCCCACAAAGTGTTTTTCGACAAACTGATAGAAAATCGATAAAAATAGCCCCCCCCGCTAACAGCCCAGAGTCAATGTAGCCGCGGGTTCACCCGGGGTGCGAACACATTTACGCGCCGACGTCTTTTGGGAGTGTAGTGGAGGTGTTCTTGTTAGGAGATTATCCACTACCGGCCTTGGCCTGCACGCCGAGGTGCGGATTAAAGGGACCGGCAAGGGAGGGCAATCCCTCGACCCCCGCAAGCAACCGGTTGATTGCACTTCGGGACCTGGGGGGAGAGGAAATAGTAAGCTTTAAAGAGCGGTTGAAATCAAGGACCGCTTGATTTCAATGGATTTTAGTAAGACCAATTCGAGAAATGAACCGCGAGCACACAAAAGTCAGCTGTGGGGCACAGACACCCACGCATTGAATCACTATGCAAAGTTCGGGGGGACCATGTGGGGTCGCTTCTATGCCCAAGCTTAGGTTTGAGCTTTTAGGCTTAGGCTTATGCTTAGCTCTTGGCTTAGGCTTAGGCTTAGGCTTAAGGCTTCGGCTTGGGCTTTGGCTTAGCTTTGCTGATCACTCGGATAAACGCGTAGAGCACAGCAAAATCTCTTTTTGAGACTCATTTGACAAGCAGAGATTTTAGGCAGAAATTTGCTGGTTTCTACACAAAAAATCGAAATCGGCTAATTTTTTGAGAATTAAAAGGTAAATTTGAGTCTAGACGATGTGTCTTTTAAAATAAAAGCAGCATCTAGTGGCAAAACACGCGGTACGTTACGTCACCGAACTAAGAACGTGGGCTATCGATGGCATTTCGGTTCCGTTGGGTGGCCGATCGGGGTGGGGCTAATGCGCATTATTGCTTCACCCCCTAAGAGGTGCTGTGCGGGTGGCAAATTGGCGGTCTCACTCCTCATCAACAGTTCGAAGTGGCAAAATTTTCGATCAAATCTTTCAACGCTTTATTGAGTAATATACTAAAAGGCTGCACTTTACTTTACCCCCCTCAGCCGGAAGTTTTTGGCTGTAACTTTTTTATTTTACATTATTGTAAGCTCGAATTAAAATTCTTAGTATATTTTTTGACGCTCTATCGAGTGGCGTTGCAAAGATCTCGACAAAATAGGCTGAAATACCGAAACCTTGAGATCCCTTGGCTGCCGGGGGGGGGGGGGTACAGTAAAGTCTTACCGATTAAAATTCTAGCTAGCCTTTCAAAGCTGTCGCTTCAGCAGAAACGAAGCGAAATTTCAATAAGAGGCTGGATGCTGATGAGCGCCGGCTTTTAACCAGAGTTACTGCGCAATAGCGTTGGGTGTGGCTGGGTGGTGAAAGGTCACTTCAACAAGTATCTGTTTCCAAAATACCCGATGTAATCTCGGGCACAACAAGGAAGGGTGCGGCGCGGTGCGCACGTTTTTTTTAAGTTTCCTTGAGGCGAAAATGGGAGCCTAGAAAGTTGGGAAGGGCAAGCGCAAGAAATGGGGGGGGAGAAGTGATGGTTTCTTGTGTGTGGCGTGCGGGGGATGTAATGAATACCCCCCACGGGGTTGACGACAAAACCGACAAGGTCACTCTCGGTCTCCAGCTGGGGGGCTGGCCGAGGAGTTGCCCGGAATTCCGAAGGGCAACCCTTTACAGGGCCTCTAGAGGTGTAGAGGAAGATAGCGGTAATTTTTGGAAGCCGAAATCATAGATTTTAGAGATGTTTGAGTGGTTATAAAAAGGCAAACTAGCTCTAAAGAAACTGCTTTAAGCCAGGAAGTAACCAGCGTGCTGTATCTCGTATACATTCCCAAACACCACAGAAATTGGCATACAGTACGTCGTTGGATCGGAGGTGATGATCCGAATGGCCCCGCGGCGATAAAATAATACTGGACGTACGAGGGGGATGATTCACAAGTCAGCACTTGTCTTTTGCTGCCCGTCTCTCTCTCACTCCCTCTCTCTCTCTCTCTCTCTCTCTCTCTATCTCTCTCTTTCTCTCTCTCTTTTTCTCTCGCTGGGCTCTGAATGTTGTTCGGCAGCTTTTGTATGATTTCGCGGGAGGGGCAGACGGGGCGCTCGGGCCGAGAGATTGGAATGGATTCTTGGCAGCAAGGAAAAACAGTTTCACGCCCATAAATCAATCCTTACATTGTGTCGAAAGGCTTTTTTTAAAAAGTGTAAAATGTCTAAAATCTGAGCTAAATTGCTGGGAAGACCCTTCCTAATTTTCTAAAAAATTCTAGCTCATCAGGACAAATCGACGTTAAAGGCTATCTCAAGCCTTGGCCTCCGAGAACTGCAATCACAAAAAAGCGCGTGTGACAAGCGCATCTTTAGCTAAACATTGGGCCTTTTTGCGGGCCCGTTTGTCACAGTTTTCTCAGCCTACCTGGCGCGTGTTTGCCGGCCAAATATTCCCCAACAATACACAGGAACAGATAAAAATTTGGTGAGAAAAGGAAAAGCCATAATACACGCGTTATCGTTCTGCTTGGCCGGAGGAACACGGAAGATGTCGGAAACGTCAAGGGTGGCCATTTTTGGGGAAGTATTACATGGTTACTTACGTTTTGAAATTAAATTTTTGGTGGGGGGGGTTTTTGGGGCCACCCCTTTTTTGTGCAAATTTTTACAAACTTGCCTAATTTGGGGGGTTTTGAACCTATTTTCGGGGCGCTACGGACGAAATACGGCCTAGGAACGCCCAAAATGAGCCGCTTTCTACGGTTTTCCTGACTTAAATAGCTCATAAATGTTGTAAAATCAAGAATTTGGAAAATTTGGCAGCCAGATTCAAAATCAGCGTAAAATTTTGCACAAAAGAGGCCTGGTCATAGTTCGAAACTCCATCGACACTAAAAACGTCTCGTTGTGAGATCGAAATGGGGGAATGCAAATGCAGCCCCCGGAACGCGCATCTCCGGCCATTGGAAATGGCCGTGACTCCTGGCAACAGGTGTCCGAAGCGCACGCAGCAGGAAAGCCATGGAAAACCGCAAAAAAGGGCCAATCCAGAGTAGCGACGCGGAAAAACGGGGCGAGGGGCTATGTGCTTCCTTCACTCACGCGTATCACACACGAACGACAAATTTGCATAAACCGAGTGCGACGTTCCGGAGTTCCATTTTGGGTGGCAAAATTTTTAGAGGGTTTTGAATGGGAGTAATATAAAAGATTTGGGGGTTTCTATTTACTGGCATGCAGGAAAGAGAAAAGAGGTTTTGAAGGTAAATTGCCCGGGTAACCCGATATACGGTTCCGGAGGACAGAGGAATATATTCAACCTAGCTAAAAAGGCTCAATTTAAATTTGTCTTCAAAAATGGCCCATATATAGATGCTTGAATATGCAAAAATATCATTAATTTAGCTTGTACATAAAAATCTCGGCCAAAATGTTTTTTGGAATTTCACAAAACAGAAAAATGACTGGGAAAAATAGAGGTGTTTTCGTGTTAAATCACGAAAATGCAGAAAATTTTGTGAGTGTAGTAGAAAATTGCAAAAAAAACGTCAAAGGAACGCATTGGTCAAAAGTAAAGGTAAAAGCGTTGCAACACGAGGGCTTTCCGACGGAATAACCAGCTTACACACTGCCCACTCGGCTCCGTTTTCGCTCCCCCTCTAAAATGTGCTAATTTGCCTCTTGCAGCGTCTGTGCCTCTTTCTCTGTCTGTGTGTATTGCGATGCAGTGTTGTGTGTCTGTCTGTTTGTGTGTGTGTGTATTGGGCAGAGGAGGAGGAGGAGGAGGAGAGATAGAAGACACACACACACACTCAAAACGCAAATTTCAGCCGATTCTTGTGGGAGCCGTTTGTTTGTCGAAAGGACTGTGCAACTTCTCCATGCAGCCCTGGGGGCAGAGGAGAAGCCGTTCGTTGCATGGGCCATTTGCGAAACCAAAAGGATGGGCTTGAGCTTAGGTATAGGAGAAAAAAGAATTAGCTTCCCAGGCTTAAAGGTACATTCCGCTTTTTTTCCATAACCTTGGTCTGCAGACGGGAATTTGGCACTCTTGGCAGCCGGCTTGGCAAGCCCCTCCATTACCCCTCGCCCCTCTCCCTTCCCGGTCCTACCCACTGCCGGCCAATGGCGCTAATCCCGGGCAGGGGTATCACCGAGGTTCGGTTTCGCCTCATCGTTTAGCAACAACTTAACTTTAATCAACAGGAGCGGAATGTCCCTTTAAAATAATATTGCCCGGTTTTGCCCTTTTTTTGCCATAGCTACGCTTTCTAATTGGCGTATTGAAAACACCTTAAAACTCCTGGGTGTATTTTTTCGTACTTTTATGGAATGGCGCTTATCGAATTTTGTTAAAATAGCATAAAAAAATTGGAACCGGCCTTGCCCTCCATACTCCTAGAGTGGAAACCGCGTTCAAATCTTGTTTTTTCTGTACAGGTTTTATATTCCATTAATTTAGCCTGAAATTAAAAGCCTTAGTCTAGTTTTCAAGGCTCTCTCGAATGGCGGCGGGAAAAGTTGGGGAAAATAGAAAAAAAAAAACCCAAAACCTTCTTTTTGTTGGGGGGGGGGGCGCCGTAAACCGTAGTCGAAAATTGCGCGTCTTAATTACGTGGAAAAAAAATTTTTAAAAAAAAAATTTTTTCCTCCCTTTTTCCCGAGAAGGGGAAAAAAAAAACTTTTGTATGGTAGGTTATATAAAAATTAAGAAGACTGATATTATGACAGAGTTCAAAATTTTAAACATATGCGATGGGGCCAAGGTGGTTGACCAGCTGGTTGGTGGTTATGATGAGATGAGATGGTGGGAGTGTTGTCGTGTAGATGTTTGTCTGCTTATTTGCTTGGATCTCCCTCTCTTGCTCACAGACCGCAAATACAAATACCCGCCGGCAAGATGGTATAGAAAGAGTAGAAGGGATGCCGTCATGTGTGGGATACCTGGGCCAAATCAATCGATCGGCTGACCCATATGGGGAAAGGCCCCAAAATGAATACGCAACACATCCAGGGGACAGGTGAGATTTGGAGCGAGAGAGAGAGAGAGAGAGAGAGAGAGAGAGAGAGAGAGAAGAACGGAGATAAATACCGACCAGCTGCCAAAACTCTACTGAGGCTTGCACGCCCCTATATTGAGGCCTTACAGATTATGGTACGGATAGGAAGAGGGAGTACAAGACACAACTCACCCGTACGGCATCTGAAGGCATTGTGCTGTAGCCGTCGTGGATCTGGGGTGGGGGTCCGTTTTTGCGGAAAACACGCTCGCGGGGTTCCAGGGTGGAGAAGCGCCTAAAATGTGGTTCAACAGGGTCCGGAAGGTAGGTTAGGTTTGCAAGGAAAGGTTGTTTAGTGTCGTCGGGGTTTAAGGTTGAGACCAAGCTTTTCTTGTGCTGAATTTTATGCTGATTACGAAGATACTAGCGAAATTTGAAAGATTGCGATTTGTCGAAGGTTTTGAACTATTTAATTCTGGAAAACCATTGAAATTGGCGGGATTTTGTGCGTTTCTCTGTTTTAACTCGTCCATAACTTTCGGATAATCGCAATTTCACACATTTGGTCAGCTAAGACGTGGTTCCTAAAAGACATTACCGCTCGTCAAACATTGCTCCAACCGGAACCTTGGCCTTTCGGCTCAGGCTGGCAGCCGTGTAGTCTGGGTGCACCCTAAATTGGTGTATTTTCAATTTGTCCTTTCTCCTACCTGATGGCACCCTCATCCACACTCTTCTGCTGGCCCAATACGCCGCGGGTAACGCCTGAAAGATACGGTAATGGAGCGCCAGATCGCCACGCTCACTTGTGTCCCGTTTAGCGGGCGCGTAATCATTCGACGACTGGGAGGAGTTGGCGGAATTTGACGAGAAGCCCTCGTCTACCGCCACTTCTTGGGCCCTAAACGAAATTGGGTTTAGTTGCGTACAAAATGGGGGGGGGGTTCTGGCCCCCCCCAACAACCCCCCCCCCCCCCCCCCCCCCCCCCCCCCCCCCCCCCCCCCCAACTTACCCACCCCCAAACCCCCCCCCCCCCCAACCCCCCCCCCCCCCCCCCCCCCCCCTTTCTCCCCCCATCTTTTAATCCCACCCTTTTCTTTTTTTTTTTTCCCCCCCCCCCCCCCCCCCCCCCCCCCCCCCCCCACCCCCCTTTCCCCAATAAATAAAAATATTATTTTTAAATATTTTTTTTTAAAAAATATTTTTTATTTTTTTTTTAAAAAATTAATTTAAAAAAAAAAAACCCCCCCCCCCCCCCCCCCCCCAATTTTTTTTATGTCTCCCCCCCAAAAAAAACCAAAAAAAAAAAAAAATATTTTTTTTTTTTTTTTTTTTTTTAAATTTTCCCTTGCCCCCCCCCCCTTTTTCCGGGTTTTTTTTTTTTTTTTTTTTTTCCCCCCCCCCCCCCCCTTTGGGCCCCCCCCCCCCCCCCCCCCCCAAAACCCAAAGGGGTCGTTTTTGGGACACCCTGTATAATAATAGTCAATGCTCTTACTTTTGCAAATAGAAATTGCGGGGCAACGTGGCGGTGTCCATCCTTCCCTTCGGCTGCGCGTAAATCGGGGCCGACTCTATCGCATTTGAGGGCTGCAAAAAATGGATAAATTCACGGTGGGGACAGTTTTTTAATGGAAACGAAGCTAGATACTAGGGCAGGGGATAGAGGCGCAATTTCAAGAAAAACGCACGGCTTCAAGGCGGTATCCCGCGGAACTTTTTAAGGGGGACAGGATGGACGGGATGTGTTGACGGACATCCCGAAGGAATAGCGCGCAAAGCGGCCGGATTCGGGCAGAACATACGGAATTCCCGCATCTTGAGGGCCCCTCTTTCGCGTCGCGGGCCCCCAGATCTGGTCCGAAAATGGGGCGGCAGCCGTTTTTGAGCAGCTTTTCGGAGATTTAAAGGGGTTGGTTATGATAGAGGAAAACGCCTTCTATTTATGGTGCGTTTCCGAATAGACGACAGGATTTTAAAAAAATTTAGGCCGACTACGTCCAAATTGTATGTCAATTCGCAGCTAGGTATTACGCTGCTGGCAACTGGGGACAAGAGGTTAAAAATTTAATTTTGGAAAAGACGCAAAAATCAACTTTTTTTGAGATTAAAAATTTGTCGAATTTGTCAAAATGTTAATTCGAAATTCGATCATCAAAATCAGAATTGAATGGTTTTGGATACTGCCATCGAGTTGCCAATAGCATAATTGGCCTAGATAATTTCCACAAAATCTGGATTTATCAATTTAGAATCACAACCGATCTCCCGACCAAAAATCATCTTCGCCGCTACTGTAAATTCGGAGATAGAAATCGGCGCAATTAAAAGGTGATCTCAAAATCCCGCGGAAAAAATCGACGAAATGAACGTTCAGCATTCCAAATTACGTCTGCCGCCAGTCCGCGGGGGGGCTGTTTGGCGTGAAGCGGGGAGGGTTTGCCCGAAAGGCCCTCCTTGCATCCGGCGAATGGTTGGAAGCACGGGGAAGATGGTGGACCGACAGAAAAACAGACACGCGCGCGCCGACATACACACCCGAAAAGGGGGGCAGGATGGCAGCTAGCTGTGGACGGCGCGCGCACACACAAACATTTCGTGTCCGAGGGAAGAAGCAAGGCGGGAGGGGACACCAATGGACCGAGTGTTGCCCTAAAAGGGACAAACCGCCATTCCCTCAACGCACGAATCGAGTGACTGGAAGCTAGGCAGGGGATTGGGCTTAGGCTCAGGCTTGGGTCTCGGCTAGGTGAGGTTTCGGCTTTGGATTAGGCTAATTGGGTTTGGGCATAGCGTAAAGGGGTTCTGGCCTTACTTGGCTTGTGCTCAGTCTTGACTTAAGCGTAGGCTCATCTTGAGACGTAGGCTTAGGCTTACGCTTAGGATTCGGCTTAGGCTGAGGTCTAGGCTTAGGTCTAGGCTCAGGCTGAGGCTGAGGCTTAGGCTTGGGCTTAGTTCTAGGCTCAGGCGGAGGCTGAGGCTTAGGCCTAGGCTTAGCTCTAGGCTTATTTTTAGGCTCAGGCTGAGGCTTAGGCTTGGGCTAAGACTTAGGTCTAGGCTTAGTCCTAGCCTAGGTTTGGCATTAGTTCTTTTTGCTTAGCTTTGGTCTTGGGCTTGGCTTTAGGCAGCGCACAGGTTCCGCTTATGCTTACAAGCTTGTTAGCTTAAGCGATGGGCTTAGCTTCGACCTGGTTTCTGATTAGGATCAGTTTTAGCCCGAAATAACTCTGGATGTGGAGCCCGAAAGCTATTATTTACGACCGTAAATAACTTCGCCCAAAACAGCCAACCAGGCCGTGAATAACAAATTAGCGGGACGATTCCCCTAGCGGCACCGCCGGGCAGTCAACAATTTGTGAAATGCCTGCATTTATCGACGCTATTAATTCTTGCGCTTCAAACCAATCGCAAAACTCAGAGGATTTGAAATTCTGAGGATGAAAAATGTGGACGCGGACCTTGAAAGGCAAAACAAAAAGGCTACGCGGCACTGTGGTGATGGGCCATCCATCGGGTGGTTACGACACCGAAAACCCATCACCATTTGGAATAGCATCCGCGGCTCAAAAGTGGATGGGGCCGGGGGAAAGTCTAACCGGGGAACAAGCCGGGAAAGAATTTTTCGAAGTTCCTTCCTAGCGGGGACCATTTGGGAACATTTCGGAGCAGATTTACCGGCTTAGTATTAGTCTTAAAGGATCTTGGCTTACCGTCAAAATGGGTATGACTTTAATTCCCCCCCCCCCCACAGCCGATGGTTCTCAAAGTTATCGGTATTTTCGCTTATTTTGTCGGGATTTTTGCAACGCCATTCGATAAAGCGTCGAAAAATATACAAAGAGTTTTAATTTGAGCCTACAATAATCAACTATAATAATTTTGCTGTGGTCTCCGTCTGTCCGTCCGTCCGTCCGTGTGAAGCCGAATTCAACTCGAAGGGGAAAGGAGCTAGAGCTTAGCTCTCTTCGGATTCGGATAGAGCGTGGTCAGAAACCCCCAAACTGATAAAAAAATTATGAAAAAGTTTTATTTTAAATTATTAAAATTAACTTTGAAAGTGGTGCGTTAATAAACCGATTGGGGGGCCCCTCTCCCGGGAGGCCACGCCCCCTTTCCCCTCGCCCCTCTTCGCCAGGCCCCCTTCGCGCGCCCAGATCGCTTTTTAAGTTACTTTAATACTTTTTAATACTTTTTAATTATGTTAATTAATTATTTAAATTGTTTAAAGTATTTCAAGCCTTGCGGAAGGTATTTAGGTAGTTTTTGACGGGGATTTTGGCTATGGGGGTATCTGAAGCCATCAGGAAGGTATTTAGGTAGTTTTTTAACGAGATTTCAGCCATGGGGGGTATTGATGGAGGTGGGAAAGGATGTGGTGGAGTGGGACATGTAGGGTAGCCCGAAGGCCAGATGGTTGCAGTCGCGAAGCGACTGTAACCATCTGGTGTAAAATAGAAAAGTTATTGCGAAAACTTTCCGACTGGGGGGTATAGTAAAGTGTAGCCCCATAATGCCATAAAAATTCGGCATGATTAAAATTCGCATTGGCAGATTGCGGCTTTTGAAAATAACCGGTTGAGCAGGGTAATGGTAAAAGTGTAAGTCGAATTATATGTATAGCTGCAGGGCAACAGCCTGGAGATGATATGTTCGACAGCCCGAAAAGCCGATAATAGCTGTGTGGTTGGGGGGTGGGCGATGCGAAGATTATTCCCCCCGCTTACAGGCCATCATCACACGGCTTCTCCCCTGCCCTCCCTTCCTCCAGCCAACGAGGGTCATTTGCATACCGTCAGTGGGGGAGAACGAGAGAGAGAGAGAGAGAGAGAGAGAGACAGAGGGAGAGAGAGAGAAAGAGAGCGGGCAACAGCATACACTTTGGTCATTCCTTTGAGTGGACACTCTCTAGCCCCCCCCCCAAGAAGAGCCACTTCACGACTCCTTTTGCATATGCCAGTTGGGGCAAAAAGATATGCAAATTACTTTATCGCTAGAGGCTGGAAAGTGTTGTAATGCCGACATTTTTATTATAAGGAATCTTCATACGTGTTATCAAAATTCGCCATATAAAATCCGGTATTATGACATTTCGGTAAGACCCCGCAGCCGAAGAGTCTCAAACTTTTCGGTATTTTCGCTTATTTTGTCGGGATTTTTGCAATGCCATTCGATAAAGCGTCGAAAAATATACTACGAGTTTTAATTTGAGCCTACAGTACTGCAAATAAAAAAGTTATAGCCAAAAACTTCCGGGGGGGTAAGTAAATCGTAGCCGGTATTTCGGCTAATCAAGGGAATCACATCCACGTCGTAGAATCCACTAAAAACTCACTGGTGGCCAAATGACGGTTAGTCGAGGCATCCAATTCAGCGTAAAGTAGCGTGCTTCGCGTTAATTTGAGACAATTGTAGGGAAGCGATGAATGAGGCGGCCCGTGAAAAAATAGCCCGAGGCAACGGAGGCCCGCGGTGACGCCAAGTGATTCAGGATCGGAGCGGGCCGTGGAATGAGTCAGTTTTTTTGGGGGGTATTGTGCCCATACTTGATATCTCTAACCCTCCCGTTTGCCCCACTTTCTCGCCGAACATTCCCTTGCGGCATCTGTATCAACTGATTAGCGCCCAATTCTGAGTCACGGTCGCCGCCGGACCAACAATACTAACGACAGCCTAGAATGCGATAAAAAGGCGGGAGGGGGTGTGAAAAGGCAATTACCGTATTATATGCCGTAATCAGTTATACTAAAAAAAACCCAAAATGTTATAAAAGAGTATCCCAAAAAAACGAACAGTCTGGCATTTCGCCGTGTTACATCCAATCGGCCCCAAATTTGGCCGGGAGGTGGATCAGGCCCTAGATGACAACAATCCCGACTTATAGCCCCGTAGCTATGGTGGTTCTCGAGTTATAACAAAAATCCACTTTCTCCTTTATTTTTTATAGGGATTCCGTGACATTAGACCCCCATAAACATTAAATGAAAATGATTCGGTAGGATTTCTTTCCCTTCAGAATTTTTTCCCGATGACATTTAATTAAATAAGCGTTGATTTAAGCAATTTTTACAAGGCAAAATTACCCCAGCTCTTAAACGAAATTTTGGATTTTCAGCCGGAAGTGGATGCAAATCGATGCAAAGTCCAAAAAGAGCCGAAAAAACTGTTTAGCATTGCGGGAAAAACAGTATTTTCGTTATAACTTTGGAACAACTGTAGTTACGGGGCTAAAAGTCAGGATTGTTGTTATTTAGGGTCTAATACACCTCTGGTCCAAATTTGGGGCGGATTGGATGTAAAGCGGTGAAATGCCAGATGGTTCGTTTTTTTTGGGATACCCGGTAAACCTGGGCGGGCGGTGAAAAAAGGAACGGTAGGTATTTAATGGCGTAATCAGATATACTCGCAACAGCCCAAACAGCGCTAAAAGGTGGAGGAACGTGAGAAAAAGCAGAAACCATATTTTCATGCCGTAACCAAATGTACTCACCCGTTCTGGCCCGGGTCTTCTCGCGGAGTCGGGCGGTTGAAAGGATACCTCCACAGTTGGGCGGCTAAAAAATGTTACCATTGATTTGCTATTAGGTATCAATTTGAACAATTTAAAACATTAAACAATCGATTAGTGCTGTGTTGATTAGTGTAGCCTACCGTAATCTCGGGCCCTGATTAGGGGGACGATAGGGAGGGGGACTGCGTGGGGGGATTGACCTGAAATTATACGATAAGTAAGGGCCTCTAGGACCGCAGAAACCTTTCATTGAAAAATCATATATACCTCGGTAATTGGTTCGGAGGAGCGCCACGTAGACGGGGGAGGAGAAGGCTGGTGGGAGAGCCCTGAAATGGCCTTTTCAGTGGTAACGGAAGGAAATGCGGGTGAGATATCTTTGAAAACCGACGTGCAGTTGATACTGGTAATCGGTTCGATTTCGTTGTAAATTTTGTGGTTGGTGGGAAGCGGGTTGGCGTCGGTCGTGTTCCGGAGTGCCTAAGATGGGTAATTTAAGTGGAAGCTCGGCTTATCGTGTTTGAATGATAATGCTTTGATTGGATGGTTTGAGCGAGAGAGACGAAGAGAGAAAGAGAGAGAAAGAGGAAGAGAGAAAGATTGAGAGAGAGCGCGAGAGGGACAGAGAGCGAGAGTGAGCAGGAGTGAGAGAGAGCGAGAGAGAAACAGTGAGGGAGAGAGCGGGAGAGCGGGAGGGAGCAGGAGTGAGACAGAGAGAGAGAGAGAGAGAGCGAGCGAGAGAGAGAGAGAAAGAGTGCGAGAGAGCAATTCCCCCAAAGTCTTAACTGATAAAATTATCCATTCTAATAGATATCTTCTTGAAAAAGTCTAGATAAACAAAGGAGGCGCCTTTTTCGAAGGGCTGCTGGTTGTGTCGAGAATGGAAACTGACATGAGGCCGATCCTTTCAAGGTTGATTGGATGGGGGAGTGGTAGAGGGGGAGAATGGATAGAAAACGACTCGCAAAAGACAGACGAACAGTCGAAGGTCACGTTTTTATAGCCTCCGAAGTGATGATAGGAATCGAATGGAAATGGAATGGGTAGCGGAGAGTCGCTTTCATTGCGAATCATCTCGTTACTTTAGGTATAATTGGCCGGTTTTTACACAGTTTCACTGTATGCTTAGGCTTAGGTTACGCTATCCATCCGATTACGCAGTGGTTTTTTTTTTTGTTTTTTTTTTCTTTTTTTTCAATTTAAACCCCGGTTGTTCTTTTTTTTGTTTTTTGTTGTTTTCCTTTTGGTTTTTTTTTTTATTTATAGAAAGGGTGTCACTTTTTTTACAGTTTTTAAGCGCAAGGGATTAAATATTTTTCTTAAACATACAATACTATAGGTTTTTCTAACAAAAACGACGACTTTTGTACTTGAAAGACAGTTAAATTTCGCTAAAGGCTTTATTGAAATACATACCTCATGCTTCTTACATGACCCTAGATTTGCATTTTTTGGGCCTTTGCCACCCCCCCTCCGATAATGCCTTAGCACCGTCCGGCCTGCCAGCTTCACCTCAAAAAATTCGCCCAAAAAATCACGCCAGGGCCGGTGTTCCGTTGCATTGAAAGGAAATGGTTTGGCTGAACAAGGGGCCATAAAACGGGTGACCGGGGCCAGAATGGCAAGCCATCCACGCAAGGCCAGCGTGGGATTCTGATTGCTACGAAGCGAAAAGGGGAGGTGTTTGATTTTGGCATCCAGACATTCGTATTTAATCCTTCCTAAGTATTGGCATCAATATTCAAAAGGCTGGTCGATTGTAGATTCACTTCAAAAAATGAGTCATTTCACGAACTATCAGGCTGGACCGAAAGTCTTTACAATCGATCTTCAAGCCGGTTTTGTAAAAATGTTTACCACCCGGCCGCCGGGATTTTTACACCAATAGTTCAGTCTAAGATGCTACTATAGCACATCAAAAATATTTAATGGATTCAGCCTATATTTATTTTTCTATGACCGGTTTTCCCTGAGACACAGGTCGACCCGACGCTGCGGCATTCGCGAGCCCTCTGCTCTTCGAGCCTTATGAAAATTTCTAAAGTCAGAATCCTCCCAGCATAACCGGCGGTTGATAGCGCCAGTATCATATCTTTCAAGCTACGGTGCCAGATTTGCCAAACAACTGTAGAGCTTGTTGTTATTGTCTTTGGTATAGAACCAAATCCCGATTCGGGATGAGTTTGATGAAAAGGGACTTATCAATTCAATGAGGACCGCCAATTTAGAAGCACTCCACCTATTTTGAAAAACATTCAATTGCAAACACTGTGACGACACCATTTAACAAGCTGCCCTGCTTTTACGGGAAAAATTTTTGCAACCTAATGTAGCGTCGAGTAACCGACACGGGATCTGGCACCGTCATTAGATTTCGCTTATTATTCTTAAATCTTTGGTGATCAAATTTTTTCGACAAAACACGGCAATTACACATCAACAGTAAATAAGGTACTCAAATTATCAATGTCCCAAAGCCATTAGTTGAGTTTGAGAATATAAAAACAAAATTGTGTAGGAAAATCTGGGTCTAGGCACTTCTGCGGCCCGTTATAAAAGATTTGTCCCTAGGCAAAATACGCGTTTGAAATAGTGTGAACCAAGCTACATATCGCTAAAAAATTCTTAGAAAGTTAGCCACCAAAATCGGAGAAAACGGCCGACGAAGGGATTTGTTATTTTGGGGCCCGAAACCCCAATTTGACATCTTTCTAAAACGTTCCGGAAAAAAGTATGAGGCCACCTATGCAAATTATGTTCGATACATTTTATAGTACTACTGCTGCTCTATCTGCTATTAATTAATCACGTAGCAGTGGCCTCATCGGCGGACAACATTTTTACGAAACCTAAAATGAGCGAAAATTACAACCTGCAGGGTCTTTGCCACATAACTTCAAAAGTAGCAAAAGAGGGAAGTTGAAATCGGGCGTGCAGGAAGTTCATACTTGACCCTTCATCATGCTAAAATATGACAAAGATAGGATGGCTGCTTTCATAAATTTTTTGCGTCCGAAAAATTGTAATTACTTTCGGTCCAACCTGATAGTTAAAATTCTGCACCAAAATCTCCCAGCCCCAGGTTTTGCCGTTTCGTTACCAAACCAGAATTCGAAATGAATCCAATATCCGAAAAAAACTAAGCTAATTTTAAGTGGAAATCGTCCAACCACGGAATTGTCAAGATTGGTGGCAATAGCGAGGGGGTTGAAGCGCGAGGGCCGACGATCGGGCAGATCTACGGGCTCAGATCCGGGCTGTCGATAGGACATTCTCGTACACACACACACCCACACACACAATGTCTCTCACCCCGGTCGTTTCTCCATATATATTTTTTGGCATGCGGATGGGGAAATATGGGAGGAAGGGGCGTAGACTTGTATGTTATTATTAGGCATCGGCTTAGGCCGCGTCTTCGGCTTAGGGCAGGCGGGCTTAGGCTTGGGCTTAGAAAAGTTTTAGTTCAGTTTTTGAAAGTTCGAGAAATCAGACACAATTCCAGAAATTGGCGCTTTATTCCCGAAAACAAGAATGGTCGGATCCCGGAATTTTCCCCAAAAATCAGCCTCCTTGTGATAGTTAATGATAAGGATTGAGAGAGAAACGCCACTTTTCCACCCGACAACAATGACAGGAGAGCGGCGCATATTGGTAATGGACAACAGCGACCGATCGGTCCGCCAAGAAGTGGAAGGTTGCGAAAAATAAGAAAAATAAAATTACAGATAGACCGCGGCAGATTACCGGCATTTTTCAACAAAGAAAAAATATGCAAAAAAAATTACCTTGACTCAGCTCCTTGAACTGCTTCGCGTCCCAGTGCTGCAGCCGCGGCAGTTGGGGGCGATTTTGGGAGGCGCTGAAATTTGCAGAGATTACAGTACCTTAAACGTGTATTTAAATCTTGTAATGTTTCTCTGTTTTCACCTTTTCTTATTATAATACCGCCGAAAGCCGGGGTTCGTCGCGTATATGGCGGTCACGTCCATTTTTGTCTAGGGAAGCAAGAGGTTGCGGCAAATTTTGAAAGGAAAAGCACGCTATCTTTAAAAGACAGAAACTGCGAGAAATTTAATGGGATGGAAAGGCGTAAGTTTCGAGAAAGTATATGGGGGAGAAAGTGAATGAGCCCCATGACGCCCTAAAGGGGGAATGGGCTGAACGGGTAGAGAACGGGGGGGTCTGATCACTTTCTAACAGCCGTTTCGCTTAAATCGGGGGTGTGGGAAATGTACGGAGGAGTGTTGGGGTACCAGGATACCTTTAAAATGCACTATCGGGCATGTATCGCTAATATAATGGCAAAGCATCAATCAGGAAGGGTCTACTTTATACACGCCCCAGCCAGAGATCCCAAAACTTTCGATATTCACGCTGTTTTTCGAGATTTTGTAACCTCAAAAGCTAAAGCTCCAAAAAATATGCTCCGGGATTTCGTAGCAACTCAAAATCTTTTAATCTAACCAAGTTGGGCAAAAATCAAATATAGCCGAAAATATTGTTATATAGATTAATTGTAGCAAAAAGTAAAAATAACTCTTGAAATTCGTGATGTTGGTTTTAGATATTGTGTCTATTTTTTCAGCAAGTTAAAAACGTCATCCAATAGAGCATCAAAAATAAATTAAGGTTTTTAAATTTTAGTTCAAAACAATATGATATCAATTGGTTAGAGCAAAAAAAAACCAGAATTAGCGTTTACGACATTTTCATAATTTTCGCTATTTTGCGTCCTTAACTCGAATCCAATCAGCTAGAGTCAGCGAGAAATCAATGCCCAGCGCCGACCATAAATGGAAATGCTTTGCATACGAGGCATTTGGTGGTGGGTTTACCATGAGAGTGATGGCCATTCCACCCCAACCACTGCCTCTACTCGATACCGTTGATTATACCCCCACCCACCCGGGGGGCATCCCATTGATTTGAGGAGGGCAGACTGGAAACAGTGTCCGGCCACAGAGCGAGGGCCCCACCCGGATTTATGCCAAATTGCCCCCAGGCCAGCGCACTGGTCCGTAGCCCCCCGCGCGGGCACAATTTTGGGGAGCATCAGGTCGTGCCGCAAAATATGGATGACCGTATGAGGGTGAGCGGCCTTGCGGGTCTAGTAAATTGGCTGGAAAATCTGATGTAAGTGTCGAGACGGCGCTTCCGTTTCACGGCAGCTAGAGCCCGAAAGGGTTAATTTTTCGATACCAATTGCTTTTGCGTATCGTAAGGAGCCAGAAAAAAGATTGGAAGCCTTAAAAATAAAGCCAATAAAATAGGTTTAACACGGTTTTCAAGACAGGTTTTTGGTTGAGACGCATCAAATTTTGGTAGGAGAGAGATAGAGAGAGAGAGCGAGAGAGCGAGAGAGAGTGAGAGAGAGAGAAAGAAAGAATTAGTGAGAGGGTGAGATATCGATAGCAAAAGCGGTACAGTTAATGAGTTATTTGATTAAATATTCTGGCAATATTTCTACAGTAACCCATCCCAAACTAGGCTATTAAAGGGCCCTCTGCTGGGTGTGTTGTTAGCATGTGAATGAATGTTCGGCTGGAGGTGAGGGAATGAGGAATGGAGAGATGTTTGCCCTTGGGGCATACGCGATCGCCTTATCAACGGGGGACATCTTCTGCTAGAGGCTGGTATTGGCCATGACATGAGAGAGTGAGAGAGAGTGAGAGTGAGAGAGAGAGTGGGAGAGAGACAGAGAGAAGCTTCTCTTATACCATAATTCCCCCACCAACCCTGTATCCCCCCGTCCCATTTCTATCTGCATTCATCCACCGGCATTGACGGCGGGCCTAGAAGGCCTGCAGGCGGCCCAAAATTGTTTGCCGCGGCTGTAAATGGCTGTTTGCCGGGGCAAGGCCGCCCCGCGCTGAGAACCGAACCATCGCCCCTCGAGCGATTGGGAACAAGCGAAAAATTCTGCGCAAGATAGGCTAGGTCCCATTTCGAAACGGCACCTGTACATTGCCAACAAGAACCTGGTATGCAGGGTGTCCAAAAGCGAAAAAACCAAAGCATTTGGTCGTCTTCTATCGAATCGGGATCAAATTTTTACCAGGGATGGGGACCCAAAAAAACTATGTGCAGCCGAATTTTCTAGCCAAAATCTCCTATAACAAAAAATCTATATCAAAGGTAAGCCTATCCCTAGTAAAAATATCATCTGCCGATTTCACTAGGATTTTGATGCATTTGGGCGCCGAAATGTTTAGCAAACATGAAGACGGCACTTTTTCCACCCGGAGTAACTTTTGATTTACGAAAATGGCGTCTAAATTGGGACGTTTAATCACTTTTTGTTTTCAAAATTGGCGGAAACCGACCAGAAAATGACTATTTTGGCATTTTACTCAAAATCGGCATGCTAATTGCGAAAAAATAGTAAAAAATAAGTACCAGCGTTTCCAAAAAAAAATCCATTTTTAGCGATAATTTTTTGTTTTACAATATTTTGCCTAGAAAATTCGGCTGCACATAGTTTTTATGGGTCCTTATCACTGGTAAAAATTGATCCCGATCCGACGAAAAACGGCTAAATGCCAAGGGGGGTTTTTTGGGACCCCTGTAGGAAATGGCAACATGAGGCTATACTCCCGATCTATACGTTCCATTTCGATAGTGATATTATTGTGCCATGTGGCCTATTCATAACCAATCGAGGCTGACTCTGTCTGTCTGTCTGTCTGTCTGTCTGTCTGTCTGTCTGTCTGCCTGTCTGTCTGTTGTCTGTCTATCTGTCTGTCTATCTGTCCGTCCGTCTATCCCGTCCATTTTTATTAAATAATACCTGGGCGGTCGATGGGCGGGCGGTGGGGCACATTCTGCGGTCGTCGATAGGTGAACATTTGTGGTTGAGAGCTGCAAAATATTGATGCTCATTTTTATATACCGTGGCACGAGCTAAAATAACAATCCTTCAAAGGAGACGTCAAATAAAAATTCAAATTAAATTCCAGGTACTTTCGCATTATGGGGGGCGGGGGGTGGAGGGCTCTCACAAAAAAAAGTTGAGTTGTCAGGGGAACTCAACTTCTTAGGGTCCAATTTTAAGTGTGTTGCGGAAGCAAGAGAAGAAAGTCTTTTGATTCAATTACGCGATGCCTGTACGGCGCACCCCTTTGCACTACGCCCTGTGTGCGCCCTCCCCGTCCCCCGGCACAAACCCCTTTTTTGTGCGTGTCTTTTTTCACTCTTCCACTTCGCCCGTCTTGTCCGGCTGCTTGTATTATTTTAGGCTATTGCCGTTATCGTAAATAAACTTTGTCCTCTCTTCTTTCGTCCAAATCAATTCAGGTGTCACACGACTCTCTCGCAAGGTATTCCCTTGGAGTGAGCCAGCACTCAAGAACTCACGCACAGCCACACTAGTGTTGGACAGCACCCCGAAGAGAGCACCCCGGGGTGCTTTTCCCACCCCGGGGTGCTTTTATTTTCACCCCGGGGTGCTCTAAAAAAGCACCCCGGGTGCTTCAAACCACCCCGGGGTGCCCCCAAAAGCACCCCGGGGTGGAAATAAAAGCACCCGGCCGAGAGAGGGTGCTCTGGAAGCACCACCGTCCCCCAGTGGGGTGCTCCAAAAGCACCCCAGCCCCCTGGGGTGCTCCAAAAGCACCCCGGGTGCTTGCAAGCACCCCAGGGGTGCCTTTGGGGTGCTCTGTGGGGTGCTGTTTGGGGTGCTTTTTGCCAATGACCGCAATATATCAACTAGGCTATTTTGATCGAATCAGGAGATGAACATCATTTTCGAGCAGTTCGCACAACTCGGCGCGAATTCGATTGCAACTCATTTGGGGGTCGTTTGGGAGCATTTCTTCGAGGTTGTTGAACACGGCGGACGATTTCGAGACGTTTTTTTCTAACCGCGCTAGCGGCCTAAAGAAGCTTGATAGAATTGCTTTAAGCGGTTGAGAAGGTTGCATTTTGAGCGCTCTTTCCAACGGTATACTTGCCGTTCTCCAAAATCGTCGGGGGACAGAGAGGGGAGCGTTTTAGTGCCGAAAGGTGTACCTGTCGAAGTTGTCGCCGCACTAAAACCATCATATCTCAATTTGCACTGCGAATCCTGGATCGCGAAGGGCACCATTCGAAAGAGCGCGAAAAGTTCTATCTGCCCAACGAGTTTCAGCTCTTTACCAGCTTTGCCCAGCCTGCTAGCGCGGTTAGAAAAAAACGTCTCGAAATCGTCCGCCGTGTTCAACAACCTCGAAGAAATGCTACGAAACGACCTCCAAATGAGTTGCAATCGAATTGGCGCCGAGTTGTGCGAACTGCTCGAAATTGATCTTCATCTCCTGATTCGATCAAAATAGCCTAGTTGATATATTGCGGTCATTGGCAAAAGCACCCCAAACAGCACCCCACAGAGCACCCCAAAGGCACCCCTGGGGTGCTTCCGAAAGCACCCGGGGTGCTTTTTGAGCACCCCAAGGGGGCTGGGGTGCTTTTGGAGCACCCCACTGGGGGACGGGGTGCTTTCCAGAGCACCCCTCTCTCGGCCGGGGGTGCTTTTATTTCCACCCCGGCGTGCTTTTGGGGGCACCCGGGTGGTTTAAAGCACCCCGGGGTGCTTTTTAGAGCACCCCGGGGTGAAAATAAAAGCACCCCGGGGTGGGAAAAATGCACCCCGGGGTGCTCTCTTCGGGGTGCTGTCCAACACTAAGCCACACCTACAACAATTGGCGATCAAGGATTCGAGCCCGAATTGAAGAATGGCCGACGACCCCGAGCTCAAGGACGTGCTCAAGCAGCTCGCCGCCGCGAACCAGCAGATGACCGCTGTCATGGTCGCCGGGCAAGAGCGAGAAGCCAAGCTCATGGCTGAGCTCGAGCGGATCCGCGCCGAGGTCCAAACGCACACGGACTCGGTTAGCGAAGATTCAAGCCAAAGCCAAAGGCCTCTGAATGCAGTCGAGTTGGGCGCTCTAGCCACTCGCATAAGTCGATTCGAGTATGACCCGTCCCAGGGGATTACGTTCGAAAAATGGCATGA